TTAAGTTACCTTTCAAACGCCGCTGGTTTCATAATTTTTTATTAAGTATTGAGAGAGAAACACAAATTTTTTTCCAAAATGTGATAGAATCTGTCCAGTTTTCTTAGAAAAATTATTTGACCATCTTCCGTCGATTTTCAGTCTTCGAATCCTTCTGGAAACATGTTCTAAACTCAAGTATCTAACATGCCGTTCTAACCATAGCTTCTTTTCACACCGTTTGAGGCTGCTTTTATTTTTCCAACACAGATCACCTGTGCTGGAAGTACTATAACTCACTGTCCTAGAAAAACCAGTCACTACAAAAAAAAGCACTTTTCAAAAGTCCGTTTTGACACCCATCAGAGTTATACCTGTCTCTGTTTTGTATTTAGATCCTCTAAAAAATATCAATTGTGTCAAAAGTGCACCAAAATTTCCCCCGCCTCCTGTCATCCCGGAAGCTATGCCCAAAGATCTGAAGAATGAGACATAAGATGGATATAAAATGACAACGTATAAATAGTTATGTCAATTCTTTTATATATACTAACATTTATAGTTGTATAAATATTATTGAAACAAGACTTGTAACGAGTCAAGTAATCCATAACTAAATTGTCTAATTAGATGGAAGACAACTTGAGTTCCTTCTAAGTAGTCTACAATCATATAGGCAGGGTTGATCCTGAGTTTTACAGGGCCCTCAGCGAACTTTTGGGAGGGAGATTCATATGAAAAGTGACCCAAAAAAAAGGGGTAAAATTTGTGTTATGATATATAACAGCTTTCTTTCATGATCTATGATATGTAGTTTTTTTTATTTTTATTATTATTTTTTTTAATATAATTACACTTGCTAAACTAATAATGCTACATCCTTAAAAATATTTCAACTATTGTCATAATATTAAATTAGTAAATTACACTGATCTCCCCTAATGTTATGAAAAAAATACAATAAGCACTAGAGGTTGGCATAGTAATTGTATTGAGCTCATTTAAGGTTTTAATTCACAAAACAAGGTTTTAATTCACAAAAAAAAAGAAAAAAAAAAGAAAGGTTTTAATTCAGAAAACACTTAATTTTCTTTTTATTAAAAATTCGTTAATCATATAGATAAAAAATGATATTGTCATATCTTTTACATTCAAATATATATTTTATTTTATTTATTATTGTGTTTTTACACTATTTGCATTAGTTTTGGTCCCTTAACCTTACTGAAAGGAATGTCAGTGTAATAATGCCAAAACTATGCAACTTACTATATTTTCTTCAACCTCAAGGACGATCATGTGTAATTTACCCTATGAAATTTGTAGATAGGATTCATTTTGAGTATCACCCACACTATACTACTCACATTTCTAAGATTTATTTTATTTTATTTTATTTACTTATTTTTGGATTTCTAGCATTCTATGTTTCTTTCATATAATTATATGTTATGAGCAAGGAACAATTAGTACCACTCACAGGTGGAAGTTGGCAAAGGTCCAGGCTGGTCAGTTTTGTCTGGCGTGAGTGCCTGATTGGACTATGCACCAATTATGTGACAATAGAATTCTATAGTTTTCCTATTTGGAATAAACAATATTTGTAAATTTGTTAAATATTGTTCAATAATTGTATTCTCGTTCTTGTAATTTGCTAGGAAGAATATGCACTGGCCTATGCTTCTATTCTATTCTATCCACATTAGTCCAACTTCCAATGTGTACAAAACACATGGATGGACCACCCATGTTTGTCTATCTCTGAGCCGTGTTACATGCACAAAAATATACGCAGAACAAAAATAAAGGTATCAACATCACCTCTTAGTTTTGCTTTATGCACCTAATTAAACATTTTAGAATTGTAATTACTAGGGACCTAGTTTCAAGTGTGTGTGTGTGTGTGTGTGTGTGAGAGAGAGAGAGAGAGAGAGAGAGAGGGACTTACAATGATCCCTTTGAGGTTGATCAAGGTGTTGTTAGGGTCCTTGTTATAGTGAAGGATCGTATGTGCAAGCTGAGGCACATAATGGCCAGCATAGCTTTCACCAGCAATGTAAAAATCCCTGGTTTTGTACTCAGGAAACCTCTCCAACCAATTCAACAAGAACACATAATTATCTGAAGCTGTTCTTTTGTCACCCCCACTCACATAATCTGATGTTGTATTCGAGTATGAAAACCCTACTCCAGCTGGGGACTCCAAGAACAATACATTTGCAGCTGTATGTAAACACCCCACACTCGAATATATAAGAAAATTTAGATATTCAAAACACATGGTTCTCAGAAAAAATTAAAAAAAATAATTAAAAATTAAAAATGCATAGACGAGGAAAAAAAAAAAAAAAATCAATGTTCGAGTGTGACATTCATTTTGAGTATACCTAAAATAAAAATGAAGTGCACATTGATTTTTCTTTATATTTTTTGTACATGTAATTTTTCTGAAATATGATAATATACCTTTGTTCCATGCAAATCTATTTCTGTAGAGAGTTTGTACATGTAATTTTTCTGAAAGATGATCATATACCTTTGTTCCATGCAAACCTATTTCTGTAGAGAGTTTTGCCATCACTATGGACACGGAATGGTCCAAGCTCTTGCATTGCTCCATAGGCAAGAGAAGAACAACCTGGGCCTGTGTTCATATAAAGTAGTAACATTAAGCTACCTGATTTTATTAACTTTTTAGGGGGGGAAATGTAATGTTGTGATGATTAAATTTTTATACAAAATGTGCATATCATATTATACCTTCCTGATATCTTGCTACATAAATACAATAAACTATTGAAAATTCTAGCAATTATGTCTATCTTTCTTGTCCATGTATTGTACGGCATAGTTTATGAATGTGACATGTAAAGCACTATCTCTAGTGATGAGTAAATTTGATATGAAAATTAATGAGAAGAAGGGTTATGTAATTAATACCCACTAGAAAAATGCAATGTTTTAATTGATGAGGAAATAATTTTATTTATCTGAAATTCTTATATAATAACAGTAGTGACATTAATAATACATCAGCACATGTCGATCAAAAAAAAATAATACATCAGCACATGTAATACAAATTTTGAAGCATGGGATTTAATAAGAGAAGTGCTTGTGGGTGGGTGTAGTCCCACTTCTATATTTGGTGTTTAGCCACAAATTTGCAATACAACTAATGCATTGACTATCTAACAAATGGGTGGGTGACTCTGTCCACCATTGTAGCTATTAGCATATGCGTATGTTGGATTTGACTCATTTCTTTTCAGTCGGAATTTATACGTCTCAACTTCATAAATATAGGTGGTAATTGACTCTAAAAGACTCATATAACCCTTTTTTTTATTATTATTAATTTGGGATATTACACCCAAGGCCCTTCAACTATTGGCACATATGTGTGTGGTGGATTTGGGCATTTCCTTTTCAGTCGGAATCTATACGTCTCAACTTCATAAATATAGGTGATAATTGACCCTGAAAGACTCATATAACTATTTTTTTTATTTTTTTTTAAATTTGGGATATTACACCAAGACCCTTCAACTATAAGTAAATATTATTTTATTTTCTTATCAATTAATTTACATTTTGACCCCCTCGACTACAAAATGTATCACCTTTACCCTTGCGACCCCCTTCAGGCCACCTCTAAAAAAAGTATATTTATACGATTTTCATAATTGATGAAATCAATATAGGGACAGGCTCATATATGAGAGGTAAAATGATATTTACTAATAATTAAGGGGGTATTAGTGTAATTGACCATTTTAATTTTAAGTCTAAATGATTGGAATTTAATGATATATTATAAAAAATACCATCCATACATAAAATTTATTCAAAAAAGAAAAAAAAAATTATAATAATAATGTGACAATGCCATTTTGATAAATATATTGAAATGAATCCACATGTGTTTCTGTTGGAGTTATCATTGCTATTAACATTAGTGCCTCCATTAAACAACAATGGTGTATATAAAATTGTAAAAAAATTAATTAATAAGAAAAATTAATTACATGATCCAAATTCTTCTTTTGTGTTATTCTATACAACTTAAAACGAATTTTAGGTTGACCTCATAGTTGAGTTACTCCGTTGTCAAGAGTTATACTTGAATTCAAGTTTTATTATTGCAAATGTACTTTTTCTTTTTCCTACTTCCTTTCCTTTTCTCAACCCCCTCCCCCCAAAAAATGGCCACACATTATTATTATTATTGTTGTTGTTGTTGTTGATGTTGTTGTTGTTGTTGTGTGTGTCTATTTTTGTATTTTTTTTCTATACATATAGGTGCGGCAAATACCACCCCAATTTGTTATTTGATCCCCACTTATACAAAAAGAAAAGATTTATTACAAATTCATTCAGTCATTCATAAAATTTTAATTTTGTTTCATCCCTTACCTTCCAAGCTTTAACTTTAACCCTAGCCTTATGTAAGCCACCACCCACCACCACTAGCTCCAGCCAACCTCCTTCCACCATCCATAGATCCGGCTACCACCCTTCAAGTCCTCTCCAGCCTTTTGTGTCTCTCTTTCATTCTCCCCGGGGGTAAGAAAAGGCTAGAGGTGACACCCGAGGGTGGGGACGAATTGGAGAGTGGGAACGGACTATATAGAGAGGTTAGGAAGTAGTGGGAGGGGTTGGGAAAGGGCAGATAGAAGTGGCCGAAACCGGTAGTGATGAGTGGCGTTAAGATTTGAGAGGGTGAAATTAATTTTTGTAAGTGCAATAAATTTGTATAAAATTTGAAATTAGCAAATGCTATATATATAATCTTATTTTTATATCCTTTTTTTTTAGGACTAAATACAGGTGGGTGAGTCTCCCATTATTTTACTTCTAAAAATAAGAAAATATAATTAAAAAATGAGATTATAGATATTATTAGTTAATGAGAATAAGGCAACGAGGGTGCAAAGAAAACGTATCATCATAGCATTATGATTCAAAAAGGAAAATATCTCGTATCTCAAATTTTGTGACTCAAAAGTGGCTCAAATGGCCAAAACGACGTCGTTTTGGCCATTTAACAACAT